TCCATTTCTTCTCAAGTGAAGGAGGTTTTCTGAAGAGTATGTGACCTAAGAGGTCTTCTCACAAGAGTCCCTCAAGTTCAGTATAATTTTTTGTTCCTTTCAACAGGAGACAGGCCACTGTACCACCTTTTTAAACCAAACTAATATTTGGTGTCCCTTTCTCTTTCCCCTCCACAGGCAGTAGATGGTCATATACAGAGCATTTTTTCTATCCTAGTCTGAGAAGCCATTTAACCTCACTCTGCTCCCACTCTTAACTGATCAAAATGAAACTGTTTGCTTATTAACATGAACTGGTCTCTTTTCCCTTGTAAGTGTATGCACTGGAACAACATTCCTTGGTCTGGCTGGTCCCCTCACTAAAGTGAAATGCAGAATGATGGCAATAAAAATCAAATGCACTCTTCAATGCTTAACTGTTTTTTGTTAGGAATATATTTTAACCATTTATCCCTTTCTAGATATTCTAACTAATTCAAATAGATGTCAAATAAAACCTTTAATACACTTCCAACACTCTCTCCCCTCTTCAATTTCTCTGCTACATTGTAACACAGTAAATGGTATTAAAAACAGTTTCAAGATTTCATCTATCACACAAACCCTCTCTATAAAATAAAACCAAATGCCAAAACAATTTGGGTAAGACCCAGTTTAGGCAGAGTCTGATCTGTGTACTTCTAACACTGCCACCACAGCACAAAAGCATGTGTGTTGCTCTCTCACCCAGAGTGGTGAGCCTGGGGCAACAGGATCAACACAGAAATAGGTCACAAGATCCAAAACAGCTCTAGTTTGGAACACTTCTGTGTCTTCTCCTTCATCCATTTATTTATTTTTCCTGCTGCTCATCAGCCCTTGTCCAGTTTCTTCTGTAGCACGTCTTCAAGGTGGCAACTCCCCATTTTCTCTTCCAGAAAGCTCTGATCCTCAATCATAGAAGTGCCAGACACAAAAATGGAAAAAATGGTCTCCACAATACTCCATACTGTAGTAGAGGCTTCTCCTACCTCTAGTGAGCACTGGCGATGCTTGGATGGCAGAAGTTCAGATTTACTAGTTATTATTTACCAGTTGTTGAATACTGCTTGTTCAGTGACAAATATTTGGACTTCTCCTCTCAACTGAGTTTTAGTTTGCTGAGTCATTTTAAGGTGATTTTGCACTATTTGGTCAATCAATTTTAACAGAGAATTGCAAGGAAATTAACTCAGCATTTTGGAACTAATACTATTTGCCATGATTAAAATTCATTTAAACAGCTTAATATAACTCTATTTATACTTGCTTATATAAGAAAAAAAGATCTTACAATGAGCAAGCATAAACAGAATACCTCTGGGGTAAAATTTACGTCATGCTTCTGCCAACTCATTGGCTTGTCAAGTTCTAATGATATCTTAAGGCAGTTCGATTTTGCTGTGTACAGGAGATAAATTGATAAATATTCAGTAGAGTCAAATAAAATGCAGGGTGTGGCAATGTTGTATGACAACGAGTGTTTTCTCTGAATAACTCCTTGGGAGGAGGTGACATTCCACCTTTTATCACAACCCAGCAGGCTGGTGCCTTGCTGCTCGCAGAAACAGCATTGAAGAGCTTTGCTTGCTACAGCTTCCCACTTACTAGGAAGCCAGGTTTCCTTTGACACTGGTGTACCTTTACTGCAGGATTTGACAGGGACCATTCAGAGTGTTGATTACTGTAATTAGAGCCAAAATACCCAGAAGTCTTCATACGAATCAAGGAGAGGGGCCCCATCTTGTGGAAATTTCCTGGAGTGAGTATGGTCTGGCTGTGAAGCTGTTGACCACAGTACTGTTTATGCAGTGCTGAAAGAGTAGCTGTGATAGCCAGCTGCACCAGCATCTCATCTAAACTAGTTATGTCTGGGCTGAGAAGTCGGGGGTTATGTTAAAAATCTGCCTCATTTCCCTCTCTCAAGGCAAACAATCCTCCCATTTCTGTAGGTGTGAAGAATCCTGCCTCAATGCAGGTTTTAGAAACCTGAAGGGAAGTTTTACCTACTTCCTGCAACCCCCTTGCCTGCACACTGAAGAGAGGGAATGAGTGCTGAGTGCAGAGGGGGTGATCTGAGATGAGGTCAGGGCATCCACCACGGTCAACCAACCAAGCCCAGGAACAATTTATCGGGGGCTCCAGAAGCAATGGCACACATGGCCACGTGCTGTGAGCAGCAGGAGAGCCTGGATGCCCAGAAAGGCTGGAGACACCCTGTGCCAGCCCTAACGACCAAGGGCTGAGTACATTTGGAGAAGAATACAGGCAGGCTTTCACATCTCTTCTATAAAAGGTGTTTACACAACCTGTAGCTGCATCCCACACATACTATCCCACACCTACAACTGGCTCCTTAGCTTCACCTAAGGAGGCTCCCAACTGAACACTTATTTTTAAGAACCTGTGTAGTGTTTGAGAAAACAGATAGGAAAAAGCTGTTGTACATGCAGTGTGTGTTTCTAGCCCACTTCAAACAACCGGCATTTTTCACTGCAGGACAAGATACAGCAGACACTTGCTTTCAAAGCTCCCTTGAACTCCTATTTTCATGATTACATGCTTGCCCCTTGTCTCGTGTATGACATGATGTATGATGCTACTTTCACAAACCCATGATACTTGGATAATTTTTATGAGGTCATGCAGGCAAAGGAGTGGTGCCAAGGGCCTGAAGCTCTCCTTGGACTATGTGGGAATGTTGTGGGATTGGGACCTGGATGTCTGGCTGCACAAGATACAGCTAATGACCTGGTACAGCCATCTGGGGACATGGGCTAACAGAGACTTGTACAGAAAACACCTGGTCAGATTGGCATGGGGATTTTGGAGATTAGAGGATATTTGAGGTCGAAGGCACACCTGGAAGTCACCTTGTCCAATCTCCTACCATGGATCAGGACAAGATCACACCACTCAAAGCTTCACTCACCCTAAATGGTTTTTAAACTCCCCGAAGAGGGAGATTCCACCACTTCTATTGGCAGGTTACTCCAGAGCATGGTAGTGAAACATCTTCCCCTCCTCAGAGCTCCACGTTTCTCCAAACTCCTGCTGCTTCCTCGCCTTTCCCTATGCCCTTCTGCCCTTCCGACACGACCGCCTTCACCACCACCGTTGAGGGCGAAGGTAGGGGCAGCCCCCCAGCCCAGCCTCGCCCCACTCCCGCTTCCCAGTGTCTTTCTCGTCAAGTCGGGCCCCACGGCTGCCGGGATCTGGGGTGGGAAGAGCTCTCTGCAGCAGTCGGTGCCTGCCTGCAGGTAACTCTCTCCCGCTGGACACAAAGTGCCCTGCGCTCCCGGTACACGCAGGAGCTGGGGGTGCGGCCCCGGCCTCCTGCGAAACAGGCGAGGGCTGCAGGTGAGAATGATGGTGGTCCTGGGTCGGTAGCACTTCTGCATTTCTCCCCCAGTGCTGCCTGCAACCTGGTCTAGAGTTGTAAAGCACATCCAGGGGAGTATTAAAAAAAAGTATCTAAACCAAAACCAAAACACACATACTTTTCATTTATTCTTCTTGGTGTCAGAGGAAACTCATTTCAGCAGGTCACTGCGTGGAGCAGGACGCTGAGTTGCAGAGCGTGGGGCTGCTGCTGACAGCTTTGCAGATGCGCATCACCCCAGCAAGAAGGCCAGGCACCAAGATACCCGTGTGCTCCCAAACGGCATCTCCCTTGGCTCTGACACAACACCTGTGTTTTCCATTTCAAGTTTCACTCTCTCTGGCTATGGAACATCCTCCGTCACCATGTCCATAGCCATGCCTCCATCAACACGGCTGCCCAGAAGATGAAGACAGACATGCTGACTGGGCACACAGACACTGCCTGGCGCAGCTGAGAGCTGAGCAACAAGCAGTGTGTACAGTGCCTCATGGCTTCTCTCCTCACAGCAGTATTGTTTACATACTCAGTCTGTTGAGGTATGTAGACAACCACCATGCCGTGACCATATAGTTACACTGAGAGGAGAGCAGTGTGTGAAACTGCCAGACATGCCTGATACCAAAGGGAAAATAATATTAATGTAGATGGTTAGCCTTAATTTATGGCAACATGAACAAGGCAACAGGGTGAGAAGCTGTTGTAGACAATAAAAAGGGACATGGATTCCTTAGAGAATCTCTGAGTAAACACTAGTTGCCAAGTCATTACTAAGGCAATTAAAAACAAAAGAAAAAGCACAGCAGGTCAACAAAACTGAAGCCAGTGTGGTAAGAGTTAATGGGCATGCTTATTTTTGTTTATGCATTATGCAGTTGGAAGAATGTAAGGGTGATAAAGAACAAGGGATATAATGTGAAGCAAACAGTATAACCAGGACTGAGTGGGGGTACCTGTTTGTCAGCCCTGATCACCACAGTTTGAACCAGGACAAATCCACTGTTTCCACAGGTTCATAGAATAGAATACAGAATAGAACATGCTGAGTTGAAAGGGACCCATCAGGATTAGGGACTAGTTATATTTTTCCTTGACATTCATGAAGAAATACAAGAAGTACCCTTCTTAATATTGCCAAGGTAGTACTTAGAGAGTGCCATCTAACAACATCATTCCTTCCTAACTCTTTAATATAGCCAAGTGTTTGTTTCATGCATGGGAAATTCTGCCCAGGATAGCAGTGTAACTGAGACAAATGCTTTGTAGATAATAAAAGAAAATGTCTGTATGCAAAACCAGGGTGCTTGCATGTTAACACCTATGGCCACCAATCATCATACCAAAACAAAGCCTGAAATTACTCAAGTAAATTGAAATTACTCAAGTCATGCTCACTATCAAAGACAAGTGGATAAACAGTATCATTACTATCAAGGTCATAATGCAAAATAATTAAGCAAATAGGAAGCAAGGTAAATTCAAACAATTTTTAATGCCTAATCATTCATTAGTCCAACTTTGATTTCAAAATCTTCTGTAAATATTGTAAAAAATAATTTAAAACTATAAATTAAAATGTACCTATTTTAGCTTGTGACAACTTTCAACATACTTTTTCTTTTACTGTTTTCTTCTCTCAATTAAATCACTCACTGATCTTGAAGCCTATCAATCCCTACTGCTATTGTCAAACAAACATTTTGATCCAATCAATCATATCCTTTCTAGCTTCTTCAATATAAGGTTTATCATCAGGTTTCATATCTTCCGGCTTCAGTTGTGCAAAACCATGAACTTGTCCAGGATAAACTTTAATTTTATATGAAACTTTACAATACTGTTTCAACTTCTCCTCCAATAAGAAGATCTGTAAAAGAAAGTGATTTTCCATTACATTTTGGGGGGGGGGTGAGTTTGCCAAACTTGTCATTTCTCGTAGAAAAAACCCTCTTTGGGATGTAAGACTGAAACTATTTTTTTTATAAGTATTGGTGAGTCTAAGAACCTCAACAGTTACAGCAAAGATGGTCTGGTAAATCTCATTGTCACAAAGGAACTGGTGCATTTCTATTCAGATTCTTAGGCTTGTCATCTATACATCTAAGCTCTGATCTTAAGAGAACATATTCCATAAACCTCAGTGACCATCAGTCCAAGACATTTTGATAGGCTTAGTAACAGAGTTTAAGAAAACACAGAGGGTTTTTTTTTTTAGTTTGCTTTACAAAAAGACACTGTTCCTGCACAATCTTTTGTTGATAAGTACATGCAAAGTACTAATCACATGTTTATGTACACATATACATCTGCAGACACATTCTTGTGCTTATTTGCATTAAAAAGTTACAAAATAGGAGAATGAACACTTATTTTGTGTCAAAAACTTAATTCTGCCCATTGTGTAGATTAGAGAGATTTCTGTAATTTATTTTATGTTCTTTCTTTTTTTTTTTTTATTCTTGTCACTGAAGAAAAAGCATTTGTTCACAGAAGAGGGCACCAGTTTCCTACACATATATTTATCCAGCCTCTCAGATATGCTTACGGTAGGGGTTATATCAAAACATAGATGGCTAGATGGCGGCCAAGAGTCAAAAGAGAGTCTACAAATTGTTATCATCTCAGTTAAAATCCACACCCAGTCTTCCCATACAGTTCATTTTTTTCTTCTTATGCCAAAAGCAATTGGTCATTGGCCCCCATCATCAGAAAATTCAGTTACTAAGCTGAAATTACTTTTTTTTTCTCCGAGTGGCTTAACTACCCGATTTCTCATCCACAGCAGTAGTATCTCAAGGTTTTGAGATGCTTGGCTCATACCAGTTGGATCTCCCTGCCCAGTTTCACACTTTGCTTATCTAGCCATTTGGAGATTAATGGATCGTCTTTACTGCATTTCTCACCTCAAAAAAGAAGCTTTGAATAACTTAAGCAAGATGTATGGGAAGGTGAAATACAAACAAAACAATCTAGACTGTCTAATTTTTTGTATCTGAAAATGGTTTCTAAAAAGGATTTTTGTGTGGGATAAATGAATTATCAGAAAAGTAGTATTTCCAGTACAAAAGTTTACCTGATCCAAAGAAATGGTGTGGTCTTTCTCGCCAAAAATGAAAAATGTCGGATTTAGTAAATTGTATCTTTCTTCAGAGTCTCTAATTATTCCTATAATATTTTGAGAAACAGTCTGTTAGTGAGGTTAACAGTCTTGCAAGATAAATGGCAAATAAAAGACAAAGTTGCTATTAAGGTTTACTCATTAGGTACACTACTTAGATCAATACAGTTTATATTTAGGTGGAGAAAAAGCATTTGGAAAATATATTTTGTTGCTCTCCAAGCACTAAAATAAGATTAGAAAATTTTTGTGCAAAAAAAACCAATTTTTTTCTTGTCTACAGTATTAAAATTTTTATACAAATATAGCATATTGTTGAAATAACCATAATTAAAATCTGCAACTCGCCTTTGAGTTTTTACAGAAATTGCTACAAAGCAATAACTACAGTTACAAACTATGCATAGTCATGAGAACCCAAGTAAGTTTTCATGTGTTCTACACTACCATAGAGGGACACCCCAGCGGTTAATTGAGGATTTTTCAGCATCAAGTGATGTACTGCCATTCCACCCCAGGAAAACCCAACGATACCAATCTTCTTTGCACCGCATTGTTCCTTTAGATACTTCAAGACAACATCAGCTTCCCTAAGACATATAAACAAAAGTAAACTAAGGACTCTATTGCAGAAGCAATATTTGACAATTTAAGAAGAAAATCACAAGAGTTACATGATATTGTTTTCTGTGCTGCACCTCCAATCATTTAATACAGGGATTACTTTAAAAAATCACATTTCAGCCTAGAACAGTGTCTTCTATTATTAAATTAGAGTGAACATCTCTGGTCCTAGTTTAGGGAAGTACAGGTGTAGGTACTTAAATACTTACCTGAATTGTCACCTGCTCCTGTGTTTTCAAAATTAGCAAATTTTTAATTGAACCACTTTGTCTAGGAGAGGACAACTAAAGACAAGACATATCTGCAAGCAGAACAACATCTTGCATTATGGACTGTAGGAATAGATAAGCTTCACTGCACTATCTCTACAGAGTCCACCTATTTAGATAAAGATTTATCCTGACTATGTCATTCCTGTTGCATGAGTTAATACTAAAATATCCTACCAAGCCCACATGCAACAATGTTATACTAAAGTAGCAATTACTCAAAAGTACACTGTCAGTATCTATAATGTTTAAAAAAACAAATTTTACATGAAGTATAATGAAAAAAAATGAAAATTATTTTCAACGCAGACAAAAGCAAGTCAATTTTTTTTTAAAATTCCTGACTTCTTAAGCCTCAATAGTTTAATCTTCTTTATTATCTACAGAGTTTGAAATAAAGTTTAAATGCAGATTGCATAAACTAATAACTATATTTTCAAACAGTAGGTATATCATCACAGGTTTGGTTAAGCTGACCAAAAAAAAAACATATGAGAGTGACATGAAGAGGAGATTGTGGCCAGGCTTTTTCAGATTTGGCTTGTATGGAAGGGTACTAAGAAAGTCATGGGTGTGTTGGATTCCAAGTTTTCTGGCAGAGCAATGGATCCAAACTGGAGGGGACCCTCAAAAGTGAATACTGAAAAGACAGCACAGGCATGACCTGAGATCTCCATTTTTTATGGCAGTGCCCACATATCTGCTCACTCTTTGGAGTAGAATTTTTTTATAGTTGTTAGTCATTTGCCTTTTCAAAAACATCTGTCACAGCTTCTGCAACTATATTGTCAAAAACATCAGTGAGAGATATTGAAGTCAGGCTGTCACTGCTGGGATGTCTGGAATGGGTCAGAAGAATACTTGTGCCTTAAAGGTGGTACGTGCCTACTATCATCTTCTGAAGTTCTGAGCTGTGGTGATAGATGCTGAAGAAAGCAATGTCTCCCCGTAAATCAGAGAAGCCTTGTTACAGGCACTGCTAGGCTGTACAGACAGTGGTCCCTCTATTTCACACAGAGAAAAACAGTACAGTTGATCAGATGCATCTTGGGTTTTGGGCAATCTTGCAAAATTTTGTGTAGTGCTGCCCAGGAGAATATCATCTGTACCTATCATAATCTACAAGGCAGAAAGCAAGATGGGCAAGTGACAGCCAGCAGATAACATCAGCAATTATAGAAGTGTTTTTCTTGTTATCTTGAGGAACTGGGGGCAGAATCAGCACTTGTGGATGAGAGTGCTGGGTATTTCATAGCTTGTGAAACACTGGGAGGCTGTGTGGCCAGTATAATATAGTTAGAAAAGGGCTCAGGAAAACAAGGTGGGGACAACAAGCAGAGTGATGGGCAGAGCAGATGATTCTTTTCAAATTCCAGCCAAGACAGTGCCTGGACTCAGAGAAGAATCACCCAGAATTAGCAATTGTGTTTGTGCAGCCAGCTTGCCCTGCTCTGAGGTGCCATTCCAACATTTCATACAAATTCCCCTTGTTTGCTGGATGCTTTTTAAAGTTCTAGTATAAATATGTATCTTACTTGTCTACTTTCATAGGATCGTGATCTTTCATCCAGTCAGCAAAGTCAGCCCAGTGATCAGTAGATTTCCAGGGTTCTGTTCCCTTGAAGAAGTCTGGGCAGATGGCTCTGTGTGAGACATAGAATGAAGTCAATTTTCATATCCAGTTGGGGAGAATCTGTGAATGTCTAAATGTCTCCTAATGTCTTCCACTCCAGAGTGCACTTCTACATGGCTACTATCTGAATTATGTTTTACTCATACTTTCCTGACAATCAGCAGAGCTAAAAGTATACGTCTTTGTATGGAAAAAACCCACCAAACCACAAATAAATGCTCATTGTTTCCTTAGACACACTTAATGCAAAAGTAAAGGAAGTAAGCTACCCTCTTCATTCTATATAAACACATATATACCTCTTTACTATTAAAAGATAAAGCAAATGTTCAAAAGGTTTGGTTCTGAAAAGCTTATACAACCGAAAATAGATACCAGCATTTATCTTTTGATCACCTACACTGCTACATAAGCACAAACACTGGCATTTCATGACTCCTTGTGGCTTTGTGCTCAGGTAGCCACTTAATGGGTCAGTTTTAGTAGCTTTGCTGGCTTTGTGGAAATGTTTTGTCCTTCTCCTTTTTTATTCACTCAGCCTGAAAAGGCACGGTTGCCCTATGCCTATGCAAAACATCACATGCCATGCCTAGCTTTGGGCCTGGTGATCTATTAATGCATTTAAGAGGAAGACAGGAAAGAAAGTTGCTTACAAATATCCATGACCGGCAATCAAATCGACTATGTATCTAATATCTGGGAACTGCCATCCAAATACGTCATGAACCACAATCACAGCTTTGTCCGTGAAAAAAGATGGTCTACAAACATATGCCTTAAGGTACTCAATTTGTACTTCATGTCCAAGGCACCCATAGTGAGATCTGTCTCCAGTATTATATAGAAAAGGATCAGCCATTTGAAAACCTGAAAAAAAAAAGACAGCAAGAAGGTAAAACTAATTTGTTAAAACAAATAATTAAGGGCAAATAAAGGCAAACACGGTCTGCAGAAAGTAGTTTAGTAGCTTCTGTAAATAACATTGACATCCTTGTCTGAAAGGAGAAAGTAGAAAAAAGCAAAAGTAATGTTCCAGTGCAGAATGGCTCCTAGTCCACTGTGTGTTATTAAGCTGAGAATGAAGAGAAATACCAAAATCAAAGTTATAAAGTAACTTACAAATAAACTGTGCATGTAGGTCTTGATAATCATGTCACGTTTGTTCTGCTCCCATATGGCTCTGTCAGCACTGGTGGGATGCTGTACAGCTTCAGATGTCACTCTCTCCCCAGGCATGGGGCCATTGTGGGGACTCCATGTGTGTTTCTCTGAATTATTTGTAAGGACCACAGCACTCAACTGCTACATTGAAGTATAGTGCTCAGTGCTTCTCTCGGTGCTGGTGCCTGCTAGCTAACCTGTGCTTCTGTAGCTGCATCACAGCTGGTCTGGGAGCAGATGTATTGGATGCAATTATGGAAGAACTGCAGTATGGATTTGTGAACTAGATTCCCACGTGTTGGGCCTCTATGCCCTTGAAAGGGATTGTGAGAAAACAAGCATATATGCAAAGCTCATTCAGAATGTGTGAGAGCATTTGGTTTTTTTCCCTTCTCCAAAAGTAGCAATTACGAACAATGAACCAGTAGATGTGCTAGACAGATTAAAGTCAAAAGCTGTTCTGACTCTCTGTGTCAGGAGCTTGGAATGGACTCTGTGCAAAAAGTAGATTGTGATCCTGTAATTAAAACTGGTGTTACAATGCCTCTATACAAGGTATCCAATTAAGTCTGCAGGGGCAATGTTAATAGTAGCATTTCCTAGTCATGTACTGACTTTGAAACTGTCCTTGGGGATGCAGTACACATGCTTATACATTATGACTATCTCTGCTTCATCATTTCTACATCAGCCTACTATATGATTTTGGGTTGTAACATGTACTTCATAAAACTATCTAGTCTTCATGGAAGTACAGCAAATTCTGTTAAAAATGTATGCCTTCCTCAGTTCTCCATTAACTACAATAGCAGAGGGATAGATTTCACAGTCTAATGGGAAATTTTGCCAAGGCAGTACAGACACATTTGGAACCATGGTGCAGACAGACTGAAGAACAGAGAACTGATGCCAAAGAGACTTACTGCTTTCTCATGCCTTACACAACACTTCCCAGTTTGCGTGATTCACACAGGCTCAATAACAGCATCCAGATTTTATGTTCATTTAGACTGCTTTATACCCAAGACAATCAGCCTTCCCAATGTATAGTCCAGAGACATTTGTCTTCCCCATCCTCTCCCAACCCTGGGGCTGCTGTCACCAGATCTGGCAGGGCCAGCACTGAGTCTGAGCAAATACACTTGGCTGCAACCATAACCCCTGGTTGATAGCGTGGTGTAGAGATACAGGAACTGGGCAGACGTGGCTTTCCTGCTAGAATTAAGCTGCTTCAGGTATAGCCATTAGGTGGATCATCTCTCATCATGAGTAATCCCCTGCGCTGATATCTGAGAACCGATTACATGTGTTAATTTTCTCCCACCTTTCTCAACTTCTGAATGCCAAGGCTGGTGCTAAAAAGCATGAAGCAGCCTGATCTTCAGGACTAATACCTCCACTGTTTTGGCATCATGTGAAAGAGGAAGTTGTAACACACATGGGGGAGTATCTCCCAGTTTAAGGTAACCATAATGCTTGAAATGCCTGAAAATGCTTGAGAAAGAGGTCTGATCATGCAAAAATACTTCCTACCTCTCTTTTTATAACCTAAGATGAATGAGCTTGTTGAAGTGCAAGAGGCTGCCTGGAGAAACCACAGGCACACCCAAAGATAGCTAACACTACTGGCTTCTGAGATGGCAGCCACAGCCTTACTCCACTGAGGTCTTTTGTTCAGAAGGGCACAACCTGTGATATCCCCTTCAAGAAGTAGTGTTTAGGAGGCATTAAGCTATAAGGCAGTTGTGAAACAGCCTATTTCCTATCTATTTGTTGCTTCTCAGAAACCATTTCTTTGGCCTGTATTGACTGAGGCCCAGCCAGCTGGCTCTCCTCCAGACACCAGGCTGCAGAGAACGTTAGTAAATAGTCAACCACACCTGAACTGCTTAGAAGTTTGATGAGATCCTGTTCAGTCAGAAGCTTTATTTGCTCCCGCCTGCTTTGTCCCACGCAATGTGGTGTGGCAAAGCAACAAGCCAGGATATTTCCTACCTATCCTGTCTCACCTCATTCCCTCTTCCCATCAATTCCAGTCACTACACTTTTCCTTTTCCTGCTTTCCCCATGGCACGGTTCCAAGCAGGCAGCATCCTGTCTTTATGCCCCGTGCCTCATCACTGAACTCCAGCACAGAGGAGACGCAGGGCCTGGTGGGAACAGGGGGAAAACTGACTGCTGGTTACAGAGAAAAGAGACAGATTGATGAATCTGATGTCATCCTACTGCTCCTTAAGGGTCTTTTTGTAGCTTCTCCTTCTCAACAATGGTCCTGCTCTTCCTCGGGTATCTTGATACCATTCAGCTTTTGTGCAAATAACATAAAAACCAAAGGAAGTTATTTACACAAGGCAAAGGTGGGCTCCTTTGGGCAGTAGAACAGACACAAACTACTATATTTCTAGGGAGCAACAAATTACATGGTTAAATTCTGCTGAGTCTTAATTTTCAATATGAAAAAACAAATCCCTATTTGGAAAATGAGGTTAAAAATCTTTTTAAAAACAGTCAGGTTAAACAGAGGCAAAGATATTTCTCAGGATAATCTCCACTTCTCAGAAGGTGAGCATGAGCACATGATCTCAAAGCACTGTGCTGTTTGGCAGAACCTTGGACTACTGATGCCAAGATGTGACATCTCTGCTCTTTTCCTGAGTCAAGCAATAACATTCTAATCTACAGCAGTATTTTATTTCAATGCTAAGTGCTCAATGGACCAAAAAAAAAATAATGGAAATTCATTACCATAAGGGCAAAAAAAATTATTATAGTCCTTTGATGTGAACTTGCTACTGATGAACATAAATTACCTGTGTCCTCAGAACTATCACTGTGCCACAGCTTGTAACAAGGACTCAAAGTTAAATCCAGTCTTTCCCAAAGTTGACAGCCTTTATCTTTACCTTATCCACCCCTTGCTACTAATCTTTGTGCATTTTTTTTACTAAAACCAAAGTAATAGTATCTCCAAAGGAGTGGATTTTGCTGAATTTTTCATGCCTTTTCAAAGAGCTATATCTTATTGCTTAACAATTTCAGATTTTCCCATTCAGCACAGGTAAAAGTAATTATCCTTTTCTTCTTCCAACTCAGTCTGTATGGACTGGTTTGCCATCACATACCTGGAGTACAGGATCCTGTTTTAGCCCAGCTTGCTTCTTCTGCTCAGTGAGACACCACCTAGATTTCTCTAAACACAAAGAAGAAAACCAGCTCTGCTGACAGTTTTGCTCCTAGTGCTGCCCATCCAGTTTCCAGGTGCACTTCAACTCTTCTGCAGACTTTGGGATTGGGAAGTGAGGAGGAGAGACTTAGCACAAGAGTCATCCTGAACGGAAGGGGTGGAGACAGATCATGCAGAGAGGCAGGGTGCAACAGGCTTCACATCAGTTGCCTTTACTATCTTTTATTTATTTATTATTTAAGGAGTTTAGGCAGAAAGATGAACCCAAACACTGCACTACACTATTATGTGTGTGGTGCAGCCTTTTCAGACACTGCAGACATTTTAGACCTCAGCATTTATAACTGAGGCACTCAGCACCGCTGATATATTTGCTGATATATTTTCTTGAAGAATATTCATGTAATTTTATTGTCAACAATAAATGCCCTTAATGGGATTTGAGGTGAATTAAGATGAATCTGTTCCGGCAAACTTGCATCATAAAAAACTTAAGTCTCCCTAGCACACAGATTAAACATATTACAACCACACCCACAAGTATTCCCAACAAGTTGAAAAGTGTTCCAAGTTATTTTTGATTAGACTTGCTTTCAACAAGTGAAAAAGATTTGAGTCTGTAGTGGCTCATTGAAATTTTCCATTCCTATTTCCATAATGGCGTTGTATGCAAGGAACATCAGCTTAGCCCTCAGGCTGAAGTATACTATAGCTTTCATTTTCTCTGTGTGTGTACGTGGTTTGAGTATGTGTGCAGGTTGGGGGTTGGGAATGAGAAAGAGAAAAGAACTCAAAGAAAATGACAATATAATTTCAAGTCAAAGATCAATAAGGAAATTTTGATTCTTACTGTATACGACAAACAAGTCCAACAGTCATCTGCTAGACGTGACTCAGCAGTACCCAGTGTGGTAGTGACCACTGTAATCTATGACCATCTGTTAAAGAGGTGAAGGATGGATTCAGTTCACCAAACTTCAGGCATTTACACTGATGATGTCTACATGTCAGCAAGTTGTCTACACTCCCACAGTCATCATCAAGATTTAGGGTATGATTCACACTCCATGAGTGCCTTCTTTCAAATGAAATAGATAGTCTCCTAGATGCCACCAGCTGTGTTGATCATGGAGTTTAATGGCAGTCAACCCACCTAGAGCAGGTGGAGATTCCTGTGCTGATCACATAATCACCCAGGCACAATAAGTCCCACCTCTGTGTGCTGTGGAAGCTGCACACAACATAAAATTTAAATTTGTCATGACCAGGGAGAGGGTGTTTGTCCTGTCATACCTGTCAGTAGCTTTGCAGATCAGGATTGTACAAGAAACTATTAAAAAGATTGCTTATGTTGCAAGGGAGGGAGGGGGAAACTTCACAGAAAAGATCAAGTTTATACTTTGATATTAATGGCATCTTGCTTGAGTTTGTCTAACCCCATCTGGGTGGGTATGCTGTACTCAGTTCCACGAGACTAAACTATTGTTTTCCTACCTCGTCCCCACAGAACTTTGGTCTGCCCAAGATGCAGTTCCCCGTGGAACAGATTGGGCCAGCAGAAACACACATCTGATCCCACATGCATCTTACAACTGTAAACTCTGGTGCCCAGCCTTGGGGGTGGTTAGGGTGAAAGGAGAGCAAAGGACTCACTCTGCTGTAATGCAAGCCTTTGCCTGCGCACTGTGATTATGTTTGACTGTAAACCCTCTATCATTTGGATCTCCCATACATGAAGAGACGGTTTTTGTCCCTGAAAGATACAATCACCTCTGTAATAGACTCAGGATTATGGTGGTCATTGCATCCATACATTTCCTACAGTCTCAAGGAATTTATTTAATTTTTTATGCTTGCTGTGAACATCTCTATCTTTAGGATTAAAAAAAAAAAAAAAAAGAAGAAGACAAAAAAGGATTAGAATGAGCACAATATATTCATTTGTTCAAACACACAGTGGTAAAATTTCTACTTGACCTGAAATACACAGCTGGTTTTTGGTTGGTTTTGTTTCTTTTTTTTCTTGAAGTTTTGCACCCACACTTCTCCAATTGCTCTTCCTGGTTTTATGAAAAGTGTGTGGAATAAAACCCCAAAGTAAATCCTCACAGCTTTGGCTGCAATTTTAGCTTTATGCTAATACAAGAAACAAGACCCTAGGACATGCAAGCCTGCTGTCCCAAGGCAAAATAGAAAGGTATTCCCTCCTAGACAACTACTGACAGATAAAAACCCAGAAAGGCAAGTACTCTGGTGGCATCTAGTGCAGAAGCAAGACAGTCGGACAGAGAAACTAATGAACAGGCTTAAACATGCTTACGGTCACCTGGTACAGTATTTAGAGTGCTGCTGGTAATAACAGACTCATCAGAAAGTTGAAATCATTACAAAACTTACGTTGTGAAAAACCTGTTCAAAGCATCTAGAATGAGTGATGCTCTGCTTGCAGCCTAGAAGCTGCAGATGAGGCAAGAGGGACAGCAGGGCTCCCCTCTCCTCCTGTGCAGTACCTGCCAGCAATAGCAGCCTTGTTAAGGGGCTACCTCTGCTGAAGATACCTGAGGAACTGGTGGAGAGGCTCTCAGGAAGGGCCAGAAGAGAGTCGTGGTGGGATGGGGTCAGTACAGTGCAGCTCTACAAGGCCAGCTGTAATGCCATAGGGGGCTCTGAACCATCCTCTGCTTTGATAGCCAGAAGATTCCTTTGGGATTTGGGCTTCTTCAACAGGGGAGCATAGCTATTCCCTCTCACACAACTTCCGAAAAGAGAGCCGCCTTAGTGGGCTTGTAATTTGGAGCTTGGTTTGGTGCTTTTTTTTTTTCCTGTATGTTATCCTGATTCCTTTTCCTGCATCCAGTAAAAGGCTGCATACCTGAAGTTATCTACTGAGTCATCACTTGGGAGGGAAGAAATATATTATAACAAATCTGATTTAATATTTCATGTTTCTGGCTTGGGTCTCTAGTGAGTGTTGAATGAAGACCCTTGGAAATCAGGCCAGCTCTTCTTATTGCAAGTCAAGGCTTGGCAGGAGGTTTACATGTACAGATACTTTCCCTGTCATCAGTGAAAACTACTCTCACATTTATGATTTTGTTCTTTACCATCTTCCTAGCATGGTACTCTAGAGTTTGTGGCTCCCTTTGCCTGGAGCATTACAAAAATTCTCCAAGGAATCCTCTGATCTGATTAGTTGTGAACTGTATCCCCGCTCTTTCCCATGCTTTCACGTGTCTAAGCAGAAAGGCTCCGAAGTCTGTCCTCTGTGGGAGTAACCTTATCTGCTTCATCTGATGCCTCACTGGCAGGCATGGCCATGTTCCCCGCACTGATCAGAGCACCCGCTGCTCCTCACAGGGCACCAGGACCCAGGCCAGGGTGATTGCTGCTTCTTCACTATAAAATTTTTGCATCTCTCACCATGCTTCCACTCCCTTGTGATTTTATTAGCTGCTGAAAAACAAGAGACTCAGTTTGTCATCATCCCTCCCATTTTGGTCATCTCCCCCTTGCATCCTCCCCTTCTCCTGGCTTTCCACTTTACTCCATTTCTGGAAGTTATTTGAAGCCACTGGTATCAACTGGTTTCTGGTTATCCCTTCTAATATCCCTCTGAATGTTCTGGGGTTTTCTGGAGGGGATCAGGTCTCAGAGCATACAAGTACTTCTCTGCCTAAAATCCAAAGTATGGCTTTGACCACAGGGGCAGGAGGATGATCTGCAAATTGTAGTTTTCAACAGGTATGTTTGCTTGTTGGCAACATAGAACTGGTTGACCCAATAGCTTCTGGGTTTCTCATGCCTGGATTGGATTAATTTTTATCTAAAAATAAATTGTGTTATTCTCAAATTTCCTGTTTCTGCTGAAAGAGCCTGTGGGATTTCAGAGGGTGTGCTTTGTGAACTTTATTGAAAAAGGGTGGAGTATAACTTTAATTATGCCAAAGCAATAACAGGAAAACTATTCTAATATTGTGGGTGACATGCAAGGAGGCATATTAAAATTACCTAACACTGCCCAGGTGTTTCTAGGTTATTCAGTAGCTCGTCACTTTAGTAAGAAACACTTTTAATGGAATTTCAGTAAAAGCAAATTATTCCAAATAATAATGAATATTAATAGCTATATATAGGGAAATAACAATGGCTCCAAAATAGGCATCCCAGATAAAAGGCATCCCAGCATCAGTTTTTCCCTGAACACTATATATGCAGACATGAGCAAGACAACAGAATTAAGAGTATTTTTGCATGGACTAAGAGCTGATTTCCTTCACTAAAAGACTGAACACCTACTTTGTGTATGATTTAAGAATATGTCTATTGGTTTTTCTTCCCAAATATTTTGTCTTCTTCTCTAAAAAAAGAAATCCAGAAATTACTAAAACATACCTCTTTTTTTCTTTCAGTTATCCACCATTCATATTATTACTTTCAAGGATGAATTCATTCCATAGATTCAGTCATTGAAACTGAATCTTGTATGCAGAATTTTCCCCATAAAATATTGATCTAAAAAGATATATATTTGGTCTGTTTTCTCCAGGGCATAATTCTTTTTTTCTTCTTCTTTTTTTTTTCTCTGTTTCTTTATTTGGTATATGCTGTCTCATACAAAACTCATCCAATGCTTATTTTATATTTCAGGAACTTTCTGGGATGAATCAACTAGAAGGAGGTAATTTTGTTTGCTTGTAATTTGGGCCATGTTTGCACTGAGATGTAAGCACTATTTCAGTCTTCAGTACATATAGGTTGCCCTGGGCAAAAGGCTGCACCCTGTGCCCATAGAATTTATCCCACTTTTCAGAAGAGAGAGCTTCCATGAGTAGAAATCCGACTTCTCCTCTGTAAACTCCCAGTGCGCACTTGAACACTTTGATTTGGCTGAGATTTTCCAAGATATCCTTTTTAAAGCCAAGAGGACCCCAAATTTTCCACTTACATATGATTCCCCAACAGGTTTTACATCTTCTAGATGAACATTTAGGAGTTTTTTTCCCTAACTGGAAAAAGGAGAACTGTTTACTACTATCAGTGATTACTGAACAAATCTGGCAAAAATTACTATACTAAATCAGTGTTTTAAACTCCAAAACTTTATACAGAGTGTCAGGAAGAAAAAATTTTTACCCATGTTTGCTCAACTTTAAAAGTCCTATTTTGCAAATATGCCTATGCATTAGTAATCTTGGACTGTATCCAGGCAGCTTTGGACTGTATCCCACAAAGTAATACAGACGCCCAAGTGCAACATCAAAGCAATAAGTTTAAGGAAAGTATATATAAGAGCTTCTAATTATATAACAAGACAATTACCATACATAAATCAATTCCAAGCAATCAAGGGACTTTATTAAATATGTTTGCAGAGAGCACCTGTCTTACCCTTTTTCTAAAACTAAATAATGAACTTTGGCATAGCAGAAAAAAAATTTACATTTTACAGTAATCCTGCAGTTGAGTCTGTGCTGGGAGTAAGCGTATGTATCCTACAGTCCGTGCCAGTTGAAAAAAATGAGTTTCCAAGAGTCCTTGAGCTGGAGTAAACACATAATAGAGCATGTCAGAAGACCAAAGGGGTCCAGACAGAGAAGAGGCCAGTCACCCAAGTGAATCCTGACCATCACTGCCCAGGGCAGGCACAGGCAGGCACACAGGCAACGTGCATTCCATGTGGAAGGGAATGCTTGGGCCAGGCAGGCCAACAAGACTGCAGTCACTGCCCACTCTGTCGGGTTCAGAGAGGATGTCTGCTGCATGTGGCATCAAGCATCATGGTGTGGCAGAGATTATCTCCCCCTGCCCGCCCAGATACCTCCCCCTGCCCCCCCAGTTCAAAGTTTTGCAAGTGCTGTTTATGCTGAAGCAGCTGTGCCAAGAGTGAACTCCAAAGCTCGCTCTTCCGCAGCTCATTTGTGAACTAGCAAGTTTCAGACTGGAGGTTTCAGCAAGGAAAAAGCATGAGCTTGAGCAGGAGACTCCAAGGCCTGGCCAGATTTACTCTAAAGGGCTGACATTAGCACTTCCAGAGATGACAATTTCCAGCATTGCTGCTTCCTTCTGGTCTGAAACAAATGGACCTCAGTTTCCTAACAGACTGACAATGGGATCTCAGAGAGCTGAGAAGTTGTAGGCCATGAGACTAAATGCTTAAGGCCATCTTATTCAGTCCTTCACATGGTTCGTCTCTAAGGAGCTCTGATTTCCCTTTATTTCCCAGGAAGCTGCAGAGATGATAGCCTGTCTGTACTAGACACAGCAGCTACCATAAGGCAGGTCCCTTCCAGAGACTTGTCTTGAGCTGGAGCTCAGGCCTCAAGACAAGCTCCTCTGTTCATTACAGCCTGTTCTCCTGGTTTAGGAGGAAAAAACTGCCCAAACCTGAAACCCCATGCTAGAATCAAATTCCCAGTCACCCACCTCTTCAGAGACCAGCAGTCTGGACCACAGTTTATAAGCTTCCCCAGATCTCCTGACTTGATCTCAGCCTGGGGAGCTGAGATCCTTTTTTTGTTGAGTGAAATCACCACTTGCTTCTACCAAGCCAGACCTCAGTGAGTTTCTTTTCTTAGTGTATAAATCTTTTCATAAGCCCAGATACAAATGATGAAAAATTCTCCAGGGTGTGTATCATCTTCTGTCTTATTTTCTGGATAGAGAGGGAGAGAAAAAAGGGAAATTAGCAATCTTCTCTGCAGAAGGAATTCATAGTGTGTGTCTACCATCACATACTCTTTCTCATGAGAAAATAATAGACTGACATTAATGGGAAGCATTTGTCTGAATGCCCATACAAAAGACAAAATTCAGATATAAAGGAGATAGGAATAATGTTGGGGGGGGAAGTCTTGGATAGGCTGGTTCTCAAAGAAGGACCTTGGAGTTTCTATCCGAGATATATGTCCTCAGCATGGCCTTGAAGATTTGACATAAATATGCTGGGAGAGAGATCCATGCTCAAGCTACTGCTCCACCATGTTCATTCGTGCAGAAACTGCCACTCCCACATGGCTACTGCTTACCCTCTATCTTCTCTGGGAGACCCTGCCTTTGTGCAGCCACTTCTGTTTTCATGTGAGCCACAATCAGAAACCTGATTCCTCTTGTTCCAAGACTGTTAGCTATTCCAACACTTCCTCTCTGGTTTTAAGCAGAAATTGGTGCCTGCTGCAGATCTCTTCCCCTGAAATTTCTTCAAAAGTGTCATGAAAACTGAATTGTAATTATGTGGATTTTTCTGATGATATGTATTTATTCTAAAAAAACCCCCACATCTAGCTAATCTCAGTTCCTCAGAATTAAAATCCATAGTTTACCAGAGCAAAACCATTTCTGTATATTACGCAGAAATTGCGATAAGTTCTTTCCTGTGAGAAAAGATATAAATGCCAATATTTTCAAAATTAAATCTCTGAGTGCTAAACAAATTCCCAGGGACAACTACATATCATGAATTGAGAGCAAACAGTTAAGCATGAAGCAGAAGAACAGCAATGAAACTGCACATTCCTCAGTGAACTTGTGAATTATGCAAATAGAAAGTCAGAAATTAAGCAGGCTCCTGCCCTGGCATAGTAATTAAGGCTCTTGTTTACCTCTCAAAATGCTGTTAAAACATAGGTTTGTTAAGAGGCCTGTTTTATGTTTCCTGCTTTGATGGGATAAAAAGGTTTTGTGAAGTTGGGGAAGCAACTGGCTTCCCTAAATTCAAACTAGATCCTGTGTGTTTCACCTGAGTACGCTTCAGAGTAATTTTTTGTGTGTTTGTGTTCATCTTTCAGGCAGGTGAACTACTGGCAGTCCTGGAAACCTCCCAGAGAATCTGCAAATTTCTTTAAAAGGCTTTTAGGAATTCTTCATATTCTTGAGGTATGGTGTCTTCTGAAGGAACTCTTCTTTCTGTGTTCTCCCAATAGCAGCTGAAACTCAATGATTATAAACCCCTCGTCACACTTGTAACTTTCTTTTCCCTTGTACTAAGGGTCTCTCCATTAAATGGCTTTCTCTTTATCTTAAATGCAAATTTTATGCAGAAGAAAATATATTTTTTCTGATTTTTGCTATGAAACCAAGAAATATATAGGGTTTTGCAGTTTGTTATCTCCATCTCAAACACGATTGAGAGGCTGAAGAAGAAGCCAAGTTCAAGCCAAGCTCAGAAGAGCCAAGCCAGTACAGGTGCGAGTCCTACAATAGACAATATTTTCCCAAAGCCCCACTCACTTTATTCCCTGGATTCCAGAAGGAACTTTCATTAGTCCATGAGCACACCACTAAATAAGTATGGCAATTTTCTAAGTACAATGGATCCAGGTGGGTGAGCATTTATAACTTTTGGTTTCCAACTTTCATTAAAATATGGTCATATTAAATAACTGAAAATGAGTAGGCAAAGAATCTCATTGACTGTCCATGATTATATGTAATACTAAAGTGCAGAACATTAGCAAATACCCCTGAGAAATTGAGAGACAGCAATATAGCAACTGGAATATAGCAGGTAGGGAAACTGCAAGGAAAAAATAAATGGAAAAGTCAGTGAACCGTAATTACATTTTAGCAAACAGTTTGTTGCTCTGCATATTATAAATATGGGTTTTCAAAACCAGAAAGAGGTCTTTATTGTTTTTCTTCTCTGTGTCTTTTGGAGACAATTTAAATTCAACGGTTTTTTTGGTTGTGACAGCTTATCCGAAATTGATCCTATATCCAAAACCTACAAGTCAATTCCAAGTATACTGTAGGTCCAAGAACATTTCAGATACAAACATATATACATAGATATATCAGCATATTTAAGATAAGCATACATTTTCAACCCCAAATGTTGGACTGCAGTGAGAAAATCTACAGCAGAAAACTAAGCACAAGTTCTTTCTGTACAGATTGCCAATTCATCTGCATTCACAAATCCCCATTGATCAGATGAACTAGAGAGCTCTGGTCACCTCTCTTGGCCTCTTGGAATTCCCCCTGTTATTGCAAGGTAAAGGCTGCTGGTGAGAACATATCAATTCACATATGCACACTGTGCTGACGTGCTGCCAAGCCATCTCCCATCCTTTATGGCCAGGCTCACACAACAGGCTCCTCATGTGAGACCATTTGGTGTGTCAGTGCTGAAACACTCCCACACCCATCCCTACCCCCTACCTCCTTCCTGGTGGGGAGCTAAAGCCTGTCTCTTTCCTCTTGGCTTCAGACTGCTTGATACTGTCGACAGGACATTTTAGCTGTTAGCATTTTGCCCAGAATTTCCCAGATTTAGAGCAAAAATTCACTGAATGTCACTGGGGGGACAGTGACCTCTTCCTGGATCCTCTTCAATAAGGCAAGGGGCATATTCTTCCCCACATCACCCTGAACAGAGGGACAAGGGCCAGTCCTTTGTGCAGGAGCTGGGACTGGTCCCTGGTGGGGCTCAAGGAGTGCAGCACTTCCTGCAGCTGACTGGGGACAGAAACCATCAGCCACTGGCACATCGCCTCAGTGCTCGTGGTGGAAGCCTGAAGTCCCCACATTTTTCTGCCCAACCACCTCCAGTCCCAGCTGAGCATAGTGGATGACTGACCCCAGCACAAGGGATTCTGGCAGTCATGGGATATGATCTGGGGATTATTCTAGTGAAGATATGGCAGCCTGAGGCAAGACAGAAGATTGGCAGCCCCTTGTGACTCAGTCATTCAGCTGCCACCAGTACTGGCAAGGTGCAGGGCAGCTGTGCAGGATGCTGCTTCAAATGTTGAAGGCTTCAGACACCTGGAAATGTACTGGGGCTCCTCAGATAAAAGTCTTTCTTCATAAGGTAGCAGCATTCGAGGCAAACAATATCCCAACATCAGCAGCTGCTCATTTCATGGCCCATCAAACTGGCTGATGACCCCAAATGGGTGCAAACCACCATGATCCCTGCCTGGCTGGCCACTGCAGACCACAGAGATGCTCCATCTCCTCTGCCACCTTCTCAGTGCCACCTCCTGGGCCTGGAGCAGAGGTGCCCTCTGGTGGCACACATGGAGCTCTGTCACCTCTCTGGATCAGTCCATGCTCCTGCTCCTGGTCTCCGGGTCTCTGTTGCCATGAGGCTCTTTCACTGCACATTCCATAATCTTCCTGTAGGCTGAGATTAGGCTGGCTGATGTGTAGTTCCCTGGATTCTCTTCTTTTGTCTTGAAGATAATTGTGACACATCCCTTTCCCCTGTTTTCAAGCATCTCTCCCTATTATAATTTTTTTTTACTTCATAGACTCCTAGAATGGTTTGGGTTAGAAGACCATCTAGTTCCAGCCCCCCTGCCATGGGCAGGGACACATACCACTAGACCAGATTGTTCAGAGCCCCATCCAGCCTGGCCCTGAACAGTTCCAGGGATGGAGCATCTGCAACTTCTCTGGGCAACTTCTTCTAGTCTCTCTCCTAGCCCCTCTCAGTCACCTGTATGCACACCCCTCCTGATTTGCCATACTCATCTTGGCCATGCTATTCACCACAATCCTTTCCACCATGCATCTGTCCAGTTCCTAGTTGTTCTTCCTGAACTCTTGCATGGTAGCATCCATGTCAAGAGAAGAAACTCTATTTGTCAGGCTTCAGTTTACCCCCATTAGGAGTGAGTTTGAGGGAGAAAGAGAATTGTACGTGAGCCTTTGCTTTCCTTGAAGCTACTGTGAGATTCAGGCCTCCTGGAAAACTCCCTCTTCTTTACTGTATAAAATTCTTCTCTGCTCTTCTATAGAAGCAGGATCAGGAAGTTGGCTCAGGGGGACCAGGAGTGTGTAAGGAAAGCAGAGACAATGCAACCCATCAAGAACCTATAAATAATTTGAAGACTACTTATTTCCTTCCTGCAGAAGACCAGTAGGAGAAGAGGGAAAAGGAGGAGTGAAACCAAACTTGGGGATCCACAGAAAAGCAAAAGACGACAACCAAATTTGCCAACCCTGAATATGAAAGTCCTGATTGGAAAATTTGGTCCAAGCAATCTCTGCTCTCAGGGTTCAGATGGTAATGAACCAGAAAATACAGGCTCTCAGAAGACTCTTCCATCTTAAACAGTGATAAACTAGACACTAACTTTTAAAATAGGAACTTTCCCAGATTTCTCCATTGAAAAGGACAGATTCCAAACAAGCTTGTTCTCAGAATCTCATGAATGGGCATGCTGAGCTGAGCTGCTTAAATAGTCTTCAGACACTGAGGACAAGGCCATGAAAAAGAAATACCATGTACTGCCAATTCTGTGTGTATCATCATGTTTGGGACACAGGTCTTCAGCACCTTTAACCAGGCTGAAGCCCTGGCAGAGGCCCATCTTACATCATGACTGCATTAAAAAATTAGTGTAACAAAATTTTTAATTGATCCACAAAGAACAGTGAAGAAAATAACAGCTTTTAAGTAGTAAATGAGTGGCATTCCATGTCAGTCATCCAACTGAAAACCTACTTCAGTGAGCCAAGCATTTTGCTTAGACATCAAAAGCATTTAAGTGGTTTCTTCACTGTATTCTCTGACCCTGCATTGAAGGTAGTACACACAGCAAATAATTATTGCCACAGCGAAACAAGCAAAAGCTGGGGGTTATGCCCAGATTCACATTGTGCAAGCTACAGTGAAATAGAAGTTAGTAGAGAAATCAGACAACCTCATAAAACAGAGGTCATTGACTCTGAACAACCTGTAATAACTCTGACCTTTAGATCATAGCTCACTTTCCCCTATTTCCTGTTGCTGCAAACATTTGACAAAAAGTAATGACAAATCATTAGAACTCTAAGTCCTTCTGTACTTCTTTCCTAGTCAGTGCAGCAGAAGCACAGGTAGTAATACAGATGCTGTTACATAAAGTACCTGTATAGTGGCTACGTGGATCTCTCTCCCCAACAAACACATTCTGTTTTTTGGCAACACTCATGGTTTTAAATGAAGTAGAAATGAACCCTGCCCTGAGGAGCTCAATTTAATTTGATTGGCAGTCATAACCTTCAATAACATCTGGAAGGTCAAGATAAAGGTTTCTGGCAAAAAAAGATTGTTCCTGTTAATACTGAGGATAATCCCTAATTGCTGTCATGTGTAAGGATATTTTCATGGATTTTTAAAGACACAAGAGCCAATATGTCCTCAGAAGCACTTACAAGCAGTCACTTGACAGTAGTAACGTTTCACACCACACCCTCTATTACCAAGGAGAACAAGGTTCTAGAAGTATGAAAAAGACATATCATTCTAATCTAATGATACAAATATCTAACTGTCTAAAAGGTTCACTTGGAGATTATGGAAGTCTTCTAGGTAAAGAACCATATGTTTCAAAGGATATTACAGTTTTAGGAATGAGATATTCCAGAAGACAAATACAGCCTGTTGTTGTTGTTGTTCTGAATGCAGAAGTTCTCCACCAAGTAACTGCAGCCACAAAGCTCTAAATCCTCAGTAGATTAATAACAGCCACTGGCTCCATTCTCAGCATGACAGCGGGATCCAAGCCAAGTTGGTAGGGTCTATGTTTTAAACAGAAAATCCACTGTAACTAATACATATGAAAAGATCCCTGCTGCATTTAAGAAATGTAGTTTGGTGATGTGCATTCTGCAGATCTTGAGAAAAGCCAAGTTCTGCAAATACTTCTTTACTGCATTGAGATTATACGTGTCAATCATCCAAGTATCACCAAGCTTCTTGAAATCTAGATATGTACAAACAGCCTTGATTGTCTTCTCAGTCAGACTTATAAAAGAGTAATTTCTCTGATAGTATTAGACCTCACCTCTCACTTAAAATGCTAGTGGGCACAGTTTCTTTCTTGGTTGAAATATTAATAATCCTTAGAACAAACCCCAGTGCATAGTCAAGCATCTCCTCAGAAACAGTTTCTAAAATAAGCAGGTCTGGAGCTTATATCATGTTTGTGTCTGATGGTACTGAGCCATTACATGCATCCCTAAATTTATATTCAGTGCAGTAATGCTACACATTTTATAGCACACAGTAGGTGCACAAAACATGAATCACAAGTCACATTTTCATTCAGGAGGTTTGATTCCTCTGGTAGCTGTTATTCATAGCCCAGGTTTGGTAAGAAGCGAACACCATCTGAAAGGAAACACGCTGGTCAGTACTTCGTGTTCTGAGGCTTCAGAGTCAGTATTTAGAGTCAGTGCAGCAGCCTGGGCCATCCTCCTGGTGCAGGGGTAAATGTTATTGCACACACAGTACATGCGAGACTACTTCTCTCCATCTTCATGCCAGGAACCTGCTGCCACAGTAGCTGCCTGCTGGTTGAGGATGGTTCATGAGCTGTCATGGCAAAACAGCCAGTGGTCAGGAAGCATGTCCTCTAAAGGCCCTGCAGTGCATAGGGAAGACCCAGGCTAACAGTGGCTTTCACCATGTTTTTGTAGTCTGCAGACCTCTGTGCTTTCTAATTGTGTCAGGCTAATTTTCTTTGTGCTACATGAGTGCCTGCTCTAACAGTTTTTCTCCTGTCATGGAAGCTCTAGGCCTCCCTGGCAGTGGTGCATCATTTAGCAACCAGATAAATGTTCACTCCAAATACTGCCTGATTATTCAAGATAAGCTGACATCCATTTGGTTTTCCTTAAGATAATCCATTATGTTTTCCACATTTCTCTGCAAGTTGCTGTTCATAACCAGCTGAACCCATTTTGCAGTGAGAGCAAGGTGAACAGCTGAGGGAAAAAACTAGGACAACACTGAAAAAAACCCCAAACAACCAATTAAGAAACTAAATATGTTTTGAAATGTTCATCTAAATAAAAAACTGAAAAGCAGTATCTTTTGTTGTTTGGCTTTTTCAATACTTCGAACTTTCAAAATAACTCTAAAAATATAAGGGAATCACTTTTATGAAGCCATTTTAAAATGTGAAGAAAGATGGAAATGTCATAGTACAAAAGGTGGGTAGCTTTAATTTTGCAATATTTATTTTGTATTCTTTTAAGAGAACTTCTGAATAAAAATGCATTACGTAAGCATATAAATGTTATAAAACCAAAACATTTTATCAAAATAAAACCACATTCAAAAGAATCTTGTCTTTTTTCCATTCTTCCTATCCATGATAAATATGCCTTTCCTTTTGCCATAACTTTCTGTGATTTGGGTTTACATCTATAACTGTCTCCGGTTTCCACCTGTAAAATTACCATATTTCCTCCATTATCCATATAATAACTTAAAAGGAGCAGAGATTTTTTTCCCCAGTATATTTGTTCAGTGCCTTCTGTCATGAATTCTTGACTTTGTTGAGAGTCTGAAGCTGATAACAACCTTCCAACATATTTCTCTGTACCAAAAATAAGGGCCAATTAAGCCATGGGTATTTCTTATGCAAATAACACCTAACATATTACTAAATAGATGAGGATTAATAATATGTTCACCAAAACTACCAAGAAGATTGAGACAGATTTCATTTAATTTAACTTACAGTAAAATACTATATTTTTTTGTGTGTTTAAATTATAATGGCCTGCCTTCAACACACATTTACTGGTAAGCTATTTTGTAGCCCATATGAAACACTGAGTAAGAACAAAATTTTGGGATTAATTCTAAATGCTGAGAAGATGGTAGATATGTAATGATTTTTAGGTAATTTAAATGGCTGAATAGACAGATACAGACAGGAATGAAATTATTGACTGGCAACATACAGCAGCTCCTTTCAAAAGCTTTTATCTAATTTAAAGAAGCCTAACATGAGAGACCAAAACTGGAGAATTACATACATTAATCTTGCCATGGCCTTTTGAATGTGAATTACAATTTAGAGTCTTCTATATGACATTCAATTTATATTTATTGCAGCAGAGTAACAATAAAGTAACTAATAATGGTTACATTTCTAGGAAATAAAGAGTGGGAATTACAAATGTACATGGAAACTAAAGTGCCCCATTTCTTTGCTTTTTCATCTATTTTTTCCATCAATTTTTCCTTGTTCAGACAAAATTAATATTACAGCATTTCTCATATCCTCAGTACTATGCTGGCACTTTTTTAATAGACCAAGATAATTTGTTGACATAAAAATGAGCCTATTTTTAAAATAAAAGGATTTTTTTTTTAAGTTATCGGTGGGCATTTTTCCACCTTGTCTTTCTGAGAGGGAGGACACAGAAGAGCTGGGTATGGTAGTATAGCTTACATATGTTTTATTGCAGGAATTTCCTGCAATTATACAGCTACTGGAGAGCCACATAAAACCTTCACTTTTTCCTTAGTTTTTTTTGCTTGCACAGGCCAGCATCATATACCCCACTAGGCTGAAGGAGATAATCTTGAAGGTACTAACGTGATTACAGTTTAGGAAAATAGAGATACAATTGCAGCTTGGGCATGTGCCATCTCTGCACTCCAAGTCCAGACTTGAACTACCATCCACTCTGCTGCTGACTCGATGGCCAAAGGCTTAATGCAAAGGATTTAATGACTGGCTGGATACAAAGAGTCATATGGTAAAGAGAGCTGAAAGTTGCTATGACTTGTTAATCTACTAGAGGGGTTAAAACATCTGCCACAATGGAAACCTAAACCAATACATGCATGCATTTCATCAGTATAGAATTCCTCTTTATCCTGAATAAAATTGGATTGTTTTCTTCCTTAACAGTGTTCCTGCCAGCTCACCAGAGACTGACCTACAACTTTCTGTGCACATGGAAGAGTACAAAGTTTTAATGCATGCTGCCTCAGCTATTTAGGCCAGCAAGACCTGAAGACATAAATGATTAAGCTAAGAGAAATTTTGTGCTTTAACTGAACTGTTTATTAGTTCTCTGGGAAAGTTCTGGCTGTGAAAGGCGAGATGGGATTTGAAGAAGAACACAGGTAACCACTTGCCCCTGAGGAGGAGGAGGATAAGGAGGGCTGTTTCTAGGGCTGCTTACACATTCCTAATCCCTGGAACACTGACTGTCCCAAAAGCATGGTTGACTTCATCTAGGAAGGCAGCGTTTCTCTTTGACCTTGGAGTAGAATCCAGAACCAATTCTGGCTACATTTTGTCTGACTCCCATGCTCTTCCCCGCTATGGCTGCTGCCCTTAGCATGGACCCAGCTGCCGGCCACCCTGTCCCACCACCCTGATTCCACTTCTGCCCACAGCGGCAGGGCCAGGAGCTGATAGAGGTTCAAGACCAAATGCCAGGTCCTTTACTTTGATCACAATAACCCCATGCAGTGCTACAGGCTGGGGGCACAGTGACTGGAAAGCTGCCCAGCAGAAAAGGACCTGGGGATGCTGATCAACAGAGACTGAACACGAGGCAGCAGTGTGGCCAGGTGGGCAAGAAGGCCAATGGCACCCTGGCTTGTATCAGAAAGAGTGTGACCAGCAAAACCAGGGCAGTGATACTTCCCCTGTACTAGGCACTGATGGGGCTGCACCTCAAATGCTGTGTCCAGTTCTGGGGCCTTCAATTCAAGAATTGAGGTTGAGGTGCTGGAGCAGGTCTGGAAAAGGGCAACGAAGCTGGTGAAGGGTCTGGAGTACAATTCTGATGAGGAGCAGCTGAGGGAGCTGGAGTTGTTTAGCTTGGAGAAGAGGAGGCTCGAGGGGGACCTTATCGCTCTCTAAACTTCCTGAAAGGAGGTTGTAGCCAGGTGGGGGTCGGCCTCTTCTCCCAGGTAACAAGAAACAGGATGAGAGCGCACAGTCTTAAGCTGTGCCAGGGGAGGTTCAGGTTGGACATTAGGAAGAATGTCTTCACAGTAACAGTGAGTAGGCGTTGGGGTGGGCTGCCTAAGAGGGGTGGTGGAGTCACCGACCCTGGAGCTGTTTAAGGAAAGACTGGACGTGGCACTCGGAGACATGGTCTCGTTGACAAGGTGGTGTTCGGTCATCGGTCGGACTCGATTGTCTCAGAGGTCTTTTCCAACCTAATTGACTCCGTGATTCTGTGATTCAGAGCGGGGCAGTCCCGCGACAACGGGGCCGCCCGAGGGCCGATGCGGCCCGGCCCGGCCCCGCTCCCGGGCCTCCCGCTGTCCCCGCGGCCGGCAGGGGGTGCGCGCGGCGGGCGGGCGCGGCGCTCTGTCCCCACCGGCGCCGCCGGTCCGTCCGCTCCGCGCGGCCCCGCCCCCCGCGCTCACACCACCCGCCCGCCCGGCGCTGCGTCAGCCCGGCAAGATGGAGACCGCCGAGGAAGGTATCGCGATCGCCCGGTGCCGCGACCCCCCGGGCGGGGGCTCTGCCGGGGCAGCCTCCCTCCAAGGGCGGAGGGCTGGGGCAGGGAGGGCGTCGCTGGGCCTGCTGGGCGGGCGGGGGTCTGTCAGCGCCCGGGGGGGGGTTTCGCGTCCCGGGGCTGCAGGTGCCCGGGCCCCGCTCCCCGCCGGGCCGGGCCCGCGGGGTTCGGGCCGGGCCGGGCCGGGCCAGGGGAGCCAGTGCGTGAGGCGGCGCGCGCGGCGCCCCTTACATAACACCGGGGATCGCGGGGGGAGGGAAGGGGAGGCGGTGCTGTGGGAACACCGGGAGCGGGGCTGGGATGGGCCGCACCGGGGTACCTGGACACCGGGGCCCGCCGGAGGCTGCGGTTTTGCTCGGGGAAAGTGGGGGCTCGGGGGCGTAAAGCGGCGGCAGGCGGGGTGCGCACGCTGGGGCGGGGAGAGCACTGCCCCGAGCCGCCGCCGAGCCTGTCCCACCCTGCCTGGAACCCAGCGGAGCTTAAATGTGCGCTCTCGGCCGCATAGCGATAGCAGCTGCTGCTCCTTGTGCAAGGTTAACTTTGTTGTGTGTGCTGGAAAATCTGTTCGAAAAAATTGAAATATGCAGGAGCTGGCGTGTTTCTCTGTCTCTTTTACGGTAGACTGATACATAGTAAGTTCTTTTTAAAAAAGAAGCTGTCAAAGAGATCACGGTCATGTTTTTTGGGGAGTTAGGGGGTTTTTTTTGAATGTGTAGTTTCTATTTTTAAGGGTTTTTCCATTTTTAAGGGCTTTACTTGAGATCAAATGTGGATATGTTTTGTCAGCACTTTTGCTCTGCTCGGATAATCACAGAAATCGTTAGGGTTGGAAGGGACCTCTGGAAATAATCTACTCCAACTCCCCTGCCAAGGCTGGGTCACCTAGAGCAGGTTACACAGGAACGCCTCCAGGTGCGTTTTGAATGTCTCCAGAGAGTGAGAGGGAGTATAATGAGGGACTACTTAGTTCAGGATGATACTGGAGAACTTCCATAAAGCAGGACCTCATATTGTAGCACAAACAAAAATAAATAAAGGATGTGTGTTGTGCTGTGTTTATTGCAGTATTAGAGCTTTGTTTGTCATCTTAAGCAATAGGGACAAACACATATTGCAGTAGCAAGGCAGTTCCAAGGAAAGCGTTTTGTGTCTTGGCTTTTGTTGCTTTGGCATCGTTTTGAATGTAGCTTTTTGTCTGGTGTCACTTGATTTTCTAGCTTGAGAGGATTAAAAAGAAAGAAAAAAGGTAGAAAAACATGAAACACTGGACGGAATAAGACAGCACCTTTGTAGTAATGTCCCTTGGAATGTGCTGTAGACATCTTTAATACTCATGAACACTGATGGTTTATCAAAATATTAGTGGCTTTAAAATCTAACATTTAAAACTGCTTGCTGCAACTCTGTAGAGCAATACTCACACTGATGAAATTAACAAAGTGAACTGATCACTTGGCCAGAAAACTTGGATTTCCACAGTCTTGGAAGTGGATACTGAGGAACAACCAGCCGATTTTCCACCACTCCAGCAGTTGGTGAATCTGCCTCAGTGGACTTAATTCAAACAGCATAGTTGATAATTTGTTAGAGGCTGTTACCAGTGCTAGACTTTGATCATACCTGACTTAAGTAGGTGAACAGCAAGACCAGGAAGAGAAAGAAAAGCGGGTTGTTAGTTACATCTTAAAGCATTGTCTTCTTTAACTAAACCTTTGTGTTAAACTCTGCACTTAGAATTTGGACTTTTCTGAGGTTTTTTTTATGTATAAACACACATACATATGCAGGCTTAGATATTATATTGTGGTCTTGCCAATGTTACCTTCAAGAGCTCTGTGTAGTAGTGTGAAAGTAACTCATCTATATACTCACTTTCCATAAATACCACTAGAATGTTACAACTTCTTCTACAGTTTCAAACCTCGGTTCCCCCTATTAGACCTTCATGCCGCTTGCCAGAACGCCAAAGAGGCTTCCCAAGGTTAGAAAGCTTTAAACACCAGCAGCAGCAGCAAAGACTGTGTTAGTGCCTTAAGGAAGAGAAAATCCATGCTCTAATAATGTGTGCCTCAGCTTCTGCTACACAGTGTCAGATGGACTTTCCTAGCTATTGATAGTCTGATAACAATATTTTGGTCACTGTGGTACTGATGGGTTTCGTGCTTGACTGAATTGTGTTGTGGAGTTAGCAAACTGAACTGGATGGTGAGAGCTCAGATAAGAGAGGCAGTTTAGGGTCATAATGTCAGACCTAAGTGGGAGCTACTTCACCTCAGGATGAATCTAAGAGTTGCTTCTCTGTAGCACTCGAAAGCACCAGATACCATGTTTTGCTGATGAGAGGTAATTCTGGTTCTTTCTAGTTAAATCAGTTTGTTGCTAAATAAAATAATCTTCACTTTTCGGTATTGCAGTGTTGAAATTCAGAGAGGTGATAGGCATAGACTCATTCTCAGGGGGAACAGGAAGGAACTGTATTATTCAAGGTCATTTTTTCCAAGACACGTGCATGAAGAACAGGATGCAAAGTGTGTGTACACATAGAAAAATAGTGACTGTTGCACGGTGGAATTCCCTCTGAACACAGCAGAGGTCATAAGGTGCATAGCTTTACATGTTGACCCTCAGTGGGGTTTATTGATTTGAAGCTATCGGCTGCCTAAGAACCCAGACCAATACAGTCATAATATGTTAATTTGGATTTATAAAACAAGTAGAAATATCTAGAAATTCTCATAGCCTTTGAAAAAATAAAATTTAGGTTTAACTTATTTTAGTAAACTGACAAAGGCAATCCTTTCTCAAATACAGAATTCATTTGCTTTCAGTAATGCAAATTATGTTTTTTCCCAATAGTTTTCAGAATAAGTGAACAGTTGACTGTGAGAGTCAACAGGCCATTAATGAGCAGATTCAGAGAGCAATGGGCATCTTTCAGGGAACAGTGTGCTTTTAACTTGTTTTCATGCCAGAGAGTATCCTTAAAGCATTGGTTTCACATTCTGTCTCCTGTGCTGGTTGTAGCGCTCGTCTGATGCTTTGTGAGGCCAGTCTAGTGTACAAAGTTGTCAACTTGCTGTAATGGAACAGCTCTGTTGGAAAGAATGCAGGAGGAGGTGGGCATGCCACAGCGAGTGGGTAGAGCTCGCCTGTCAGCTGAAGAGACCTGTCCTGTGCAGCCATCTGGAAATGCTCTCTGTGGTAAAAGAATCATTTGTTAGGTGAAGTAGTAGTTCTGGTCATTCTTATCAGCAGAGAAACCAGGGACTCTTGATGTTTGCAGTGATAAGTCGTTGCTCAATACGGCTGTGACAGAAGTGCTCTTTATGTCTCTTTGTGGCATCACTGATGTGATATTGAATACCTCTTTCTGTTAGTTGTAGGTTTTTGTGCTGCATGAATGAATTCAATCAAATATCACTTTTATAGATAGGAAATTGTGTGGGGTTTTTTCCTTTTGAATCACTTGAATTCTTATGCTTTATGTGTAGAAACTGTTCTAATACTGCGTAAACTATGTTTATGGTCATATTGTGACCTCTTTATTAGAAAAAATAATTTAATTTTTGGTATCTTTTGGAACTTTATGTAGAAAAGCATTAACTTTTGAAGATTTCGACCAAGAACAAAGATAGGTGACTCAGACTTGAAATTGCATATTTGCAGTATTCCTACATCAGTACTTTCAGTTGGTATTTTTCTGACAATGATCTCTGGTATGTATGTGTTATACTCTTGCAGGTTTGTGGGGTGGTGGTTGATACAGAAATAATTAACAAAAGAGAAAATGCTAAGCTCACATATTCTATAAAAATGGGCATTTTATGTTCGTTTCCTGAATAGAAATAAAGGGAGGAGTAAAGGGAAGATACCATGAATCTATCGATAAGCAGATAAAATACTTGATTTTTATTTCTATTTAATCATGTGGCTGACTGAATGGTATTAAAATAGATATCTGTTCTTTAGAGGGAGGGATTTATGCTCACTTCTTTGTCCACAAAACATCTTGCAACCTTTAGTTGTAAGAAAACATCAAAAATAGGGAATAAAGAAGGTGCAGGACCTATTGAAATGTTACAGTAATTATGAAATAGAAAATGTCTTTTCTCTTGTGACTAGACAGTAGACTGCTAAATGGTTGGCTTTATTCAACTTGGGTAGCAAACTCACAAAATATCTATGTCTATTATGATGGGGTTTTTTTCCTTTTAATCAAGAGCACCAAAGAAACATCCACGTTAGGTTCAATAGTAGCAAATGACTTGTATAAGTCATTGTTGGACATTATTAAATCTCTTCTGCTAAGCGTATGTTTAACTTGTTCAAAATTCAGAT